GCTTTTACAACTAGTTTCTTTGAGTGGGCGTCCCGTGTGAGGTGACCCTTCTATCACTCTTACCAAAGATGTCATGCTGCAGTAATCGCCTGCAGTCAATCATGCATGCTGCATATGTTGTAAATATGAGATTTATTTTCGTAACAGTTTCAGTTATCAGATAGAAGAGCTCTACAAAGAGTAGCGGCGTGACATCGCTGCCAATGCTTCAGCAAAAGCGGCCTTCATTGCTCAGATTCGCTTTCTATCTGGGATCTTCCTGGCACCGATAGAAACTGACCAGTAATGGCATCCGACACATCAGAGGCGCTTGACTTGACCACAAGTGTGAGTTAGTGTACGTCTAGTTCGTTCTGCGCCTAAAATTTGTGTTTAGGAGAAGTTACTCGTAGTTCGATGGGAACATCTCAATCTTTGGCGATTTTATCCATTAGCTTTAGCTAGTTCGTGGTCTATACGATGTTTCCTGTATCCTATGTGAGTATGGGTCTTACCAAAGTTTTATTTTCCAAACTTAAGTTTATAAAACGCGATGATATTTTAGGTCAGTGGTAAAAAGCCGATTGCAATTGCAACGTCAGAATAATGTATACCGGAATATGCGGCATGCCTTCGCAGAGATTTTGAAGACCGAAGGACCAGGAGCTCTTTACCGGGTTAGATTTTTGTGCATATGGATGTTGTGTCATTGTTTCTTTATTGATAAGTTCCTTGTAGGGCTTTTGGGTGACTGTTCCGCAGCTCTCTGCGTCCTTTCTTTATTCATCAACATATGAAAGAACACGCGATCTGATGCAAGTTCACCTAGGAATCAGAAATCCTGCACTTGTTTCTGCGCTTGCAGGTATGACCACTTTTTTGCAATACCTATGCTATCATTTTTGAAAAAGTTCTACTAAATTCTAGGAGGTATTGCTTCTCCATGTGCTCAGCTAGTTTTCGTTCCTACAGATATTGTTGCTCAACATATGATGGTTCACAATAATCCTGAAGCGTTTGGAGGTAAGCCACCTATTTTTAGCCTGTCAAGTCCAAGAGGTGCACTCTCTTGACTTGAATCCTT